AATTATGTAAAGCGCATTTGTACATTCATTGCCCTCATCATTCTCAAAACATTTCCTCTCCACTTAAGCCCCCGGCATTAGGTCCTCATTTTTCCCCTCCCTCCCCTCTCCCCCCTCCCTCATGAGCCCTTGATAATTTATAAATTAATATTTTGTCATCTCTTGCCCTGTCCGACGTCTCCCTTCACCCAGTTTTCGGTTGTCCATCCCCCAGGGAGGAGGTCACATATAGTTACTTGTAATCGGTTCCCTCTTTCCTACCCACTCTCCCTCTATCCTCCCAGTATTGCCACTCACACCACTGGTCCCGCAGGGATCATCCGCCCTGGATTCCCTGTGTTTCCAGTTCCTATCTGTACCAGTGTACATCCTCTGGTCTAGCCAGACCTGCAAGGTAGAATTCGTATCATGATAGTGGGAGCGGGGAGGAAACATTTAGGAACTAGAAGAAAGTTGTATTTTTCATCGTTGCTACATCGCACCCTGACTGACTCTTCTCCTCCCCGAGGCCCCTCTGCAAGGGGATCTCCAGTGGTCTATTCATGGGCTTTGGGTCTCCACTCCACACTCCCCCCATCATTCACTATGGTAAGATTTTTTGTTCTGATGATGCCTTACACCTGATCCCTTTGACACCTCGTAGTTGCATAGGCTGGTGTGCTTCTTCCATGTGGGCTTTGTTGCTTCTGAGCTTGATGGCCGCTTGATTCCCTTCAAGCCTTTAAGACCCCAGACGCTATACTTTTTGATAGCCGGGCACCATCAGCTTTCTTCGCCACATTTGCTTATGCACCCACACCTTTTAAAAATGAGAATTGCCTAGCTTTTGAGCTATTGAAACAGATGATACTTCTAAAGTCTAAAGATAAAATGTTTGCCTCTCAGCTAGCAAATAAGAAGTTAGGCTCCTGAAGTCATGACCTGGTGTGACAGAGAGGTATGACAACTGGCATGGGAAGAGCTGAGTCTCTATAATGCCAGTATTGAAAGGCACAATCGCCATCTTCATCTGAGGCTGTAAATACATTGCTGCAACTTCTTGAGGACATGATAACTTATGCATATGTAATCAAATCTGTGTCTTAATGAGAATGTAATCTGTTTTAATGACACAGAAAACAATCTCAGCTCCAGTCCAAGTTGCAATTAACCCTGGGACCTCCAGCTGTTGCTCTTAATAGCTGTCATCTCTCACCACCAGGGACAGCTGGAACAGTGTTTCCTATAGCAACAGGTCTCCCACCCCCATGACCTTAGTAAACACGGAGTGTTTATTTCCTAGCAGCGCTTCCTATAGGAAGGACGCCTAGATAATGCTACAGGTGCGGGTAGAACCAGCCCGTTCCCTACTGGCTGCAAATAAGCTTGTTTCCTTAATGTAAATAAAAGTAATAATTATTATTTTTATCAATAATAATACCTGCAAAACTTACCTGTACCTTGGATGCTCCTTCAAGGTTTCCGTCTTCTGGCCAAAATTCCCCCAACAAACCACCTGTAAGGCCTCATCTTTTAAATCTCACTTTGTATTCTCTTGCGATCGTTTCTAGTCATGGTCGCTCCTCATCCATTCATCCAAACATGTAGACATGCACATGCATGCATCGAGTCAAGTGTCTACCGTGTGCCCGCGCGGTCCTGAGCCACAGAGGACAACAGAGACAATCCTCCCGAAGTTTGCTCTACTGAAAACACTCTTCCCAAAGAAACTGCTGACCCCACCCTTGTCCCCAGGCTGCAGCAACAAACATTTACTAAGAGCCTGCTCCATGTTAAGTGGACCACCAAGTTCCACTGACCCAAGCCACCACATATGCATGTGAAAGGTGGACAGTGAATAAAGACAACCCCAGAAGAATCAACGCTTATGAATTAGGGTGCTGGCAATCGATATACACAAATACATATATGTATGTATGTATATATATGTGTGTGTGTGTGTGTATATATATATATATATATATATATCTCTTTATATACACTGTGGACTGCCAGAAGAACAAACACATCTCTCTTGGAAGAAGTAAAGCCGGAACGGCCCTTAGTCTTGAGGATGGTGAGACTTCGTCCCATGTTCATTGGATCTGTTATCATCGGGAGAGCGCCGTCCCGGGAGAGGGACGCCTTACTTGGTAAAATGGCAGGGCAGCAAGAGAGGAAGGCCCTGAAGGAGGTGCATTGATGCCGTGGCTGCAGCGATGGGCTTAAACCTGACAACTGAGTGCCGCAAAGGACAGGACCGTGCTTCCTTCTGTCTGCTGACCAGAGAGGGTGGGCGTGAGTCCGAGCAGACTGGACGGCACGGAGCCCCAGGCACATGAGAGCTCTAGCTGATTAAGGGTGTGTTCCCGACATCTTTAGTAAAGAGATTAGGCATGCATAAATAACTTGAACCAAACTCCCTCCCTCACTGCTGATGCAGAGCAACCAACCAAACTAGAATATATTAAAACCCACAATAAAAGGACAAATGAAATGACTTATAGATGAGGGGTGAGGAAAGCAGGAGGAGGGAGAGAGACATTTTCTAGCTCTCAGAATCAAGGCAAGCCTTATGGATGAGGTGCCATTTGAGCTGCACCAAATAGTTCACAAAGAGCCTGATGGGGTCTTTATTATCCTGTCGTCTTGAAGAGGTTAACGGTGGACAGTATTCGTGCATTTTCTAGACATAGAAACAGTCCTGGAGAGGTCCTTACTTTTTGGAAATCCCTCAACACAGCCACAGCAGCCCGCTCACTTCCCCATTTCCCAGCTCTGTCTCATCCCTCAGCCATGACTACCACAGAAGCGACAGAACAGCTCCGTGGGATAATTGCATTTTAATTGAACTGTCTGTACCACTCTGTAAACGCCTCTGCAGAGATGGAATAGTGTGTAGCTTGATAAATAAAATCATATTGGCTAATAATTGCTTCCACGTGAGGATTATGGATCTAACCTCTGATGAAGGTACCACTAAAAGTCAGGTGGTGGGGTTCACCTTTCTTTGTTAAAGCCATTCCACAATTGGAGACGAATGTCAACTGCCCACAGCATGTGTGCATGTGGAAATTCAGTGCACCTGCAAATGAGTGTGTGGGCGTCCTTCTCTGTCTCCAGTGCCTGAGCTGTGATTAGAGTACTGTGGAATTTTATATTTTAATCTTCAGTGTAAATAGCTTGTGTCGGGGGCAGGGTAGCATGACCAGAGAGTAAAATGCAGGGGTAATGCCCCAGGCGTGCACTACCAGCACAACAATCATGTTAAGGCAGTGGTTCTCAACCTTCCTCATGCCACAACCCTTTAATACAGTTCCTCATGTTGTGGTGACCCCCCAAGCATAAAATTATTTTCGTTGCTACTTCAGAACTGTAATTTTGCTAGTATTATGAATCGGGCGACCCCTGTGAAAGGGTTGTTCAACCCCCAAAGGGGTTGCGCCCCACAGGTTGAGAACCGCTGTTTTAAGGCATTCGTCCCACTTTGGAGCAGAGTACTGGGGTTGAGTGGTCCTGCAGTAGGAGAGGGGCTGAGCAGCAGAGTAGATTCGCTGCTGTCAAACCAACTCCGACACACGGAGACTTTGTGTGAGAGCAGAACTGAGCTCCACGGATTGCCCAGTGGCTGCTTTTCTGTGAAGCAGATCACATGACTTATTTCGGGGTGCCTCTGGTTGGAGTCTACCCTTCAACCCTTCAGTTAGCAGCTCAACTGAGCCCACCGCCCAAGGACATCACCGCAGACAATGGAACTGAGCAGCGAAGTTCCCGCCTCAGGCTTTGCTTCCTCACGCCCCGCCTTCTTCCTCCTCTGTCCTAGACTTCAAGGGGCAAGGTGGCCTAAGACAACTAAGCTTCACTTAGACTCCCTGGTTCCAGCCCCACCCAGTACCGCACATTATTCCTGGGCAAGTGAGACAAGTTACTAGGCCCCTTTGAGCCAGAGTTTTCTAAAACATAAAATGTGGCTGATAAGGAATCACACCAGCATCCTTAGGTATGAAGAGCAAGTTTCCACGTAAAGCATTTAGCACGACCTAGCACATTTCCGATGCCCAATAAGTGTTGTCTACTATCATTATTACTTTGTCCCCATCCCATTCATTTGTCTCTTTTCTCCCTCCTCCTCCTCCTATCTCTGTGTTAGACCTGCCTGTGTCTGATCGCCCTGGGGGCTGGGATTGGGCTCTAATGATACTTAAATACCATGGGGCTTAAACAGCCTTTGTCCCTGACAATATGTACGGTGGGGGTGTAAGTGATGGTATTCTTTCTCATGCTTTATTTTAGCTGTATTTTGTTTTATCCCTGAAAATAACACCTGCTTGTGACCACATAGCAGGTTTAATTAATTATGTCCTAAATATGGCATTCCTTTGCCTAAAGGAAAATGCTAATGAATAAGATGGAACCATGATTAGAAATCACCTGTTTTGCATCCTGCTTTGTCCTACTGTGACTATGGCCTGTCATCCAATATTAACTCCCGTGCCCTGCCCAGTGTACGGATAGGTTACAGACACCATCTCCCCGGCGAATGGAGCCTTCTCAGCCACTTTTGTTCATGTCCCTGATGTTTGGGCAACTGTTTCAAAGTTAAGATCTAAATGTTCTCTTACGAAGTGAAGGTGTGATCCTCACAGGATATATAGTGGGGTGCGTCTTCGATCTAGAAAATGGTCCTTTCCCACTGTGAATATACTTCCCAAGAGCTTTGAGAAGATGAGCGTTAAGTGGAGTCTTGGGGAAATCACAAGATAGGAGGAAGCTAACAAACGACTAGACACATGCTGTAATGAGCTACTGTGGTTGCCCTGCTGGTCCTCCATTCCAATGGCCCCAGCTACTAAAGGAGTCTCATATAGGGTCACATATGTATACATACAGAGCATTAAGCCTGGGTTGTTTTTAAGTGGTTGTTATTGGGAGCTATGTGTCCTGCAAAGTCACATGAATGGAGACAGTCTTCTCCGGGCCTTTTCCTCATCCAGCTCACCTCCTTCTTTTTTCCTCAACAGTTCGCAAAGGCTACCGGATCCAAGCCGACAAAGAGAGAGATTCCATGAAGGTTCTGTACTATGTGGAGAAGGAGCTAGCTCAGTTTGATCCAGCCAGAAGGATGAGAGGCAGATGTGAGCATCTCTTAGTTTTCACGTGGTCTGAAAGCTACAGGGGTTGTGGGGGGTACCAAACTCAGGCAGCACGGACGTGCAGAGTCATGAGGCGGCGACTCCGGCTCTGGGTGTGCAGAGGGAAGACAGTTGGGCCATCACGTGTCATCTGGGTTTCCGTTTTGCCTCTCCACTGGCAGTCAGTACTGCTGGGCCTACCCATCCAATCCTAGCGTTTGATAGACCTTATTAACCCAGTCTCCCCTACAATGTCTTGAAAGTATAGTCACACCACTGAATTAATACATGGAAGCTTAAGGATCTGCCCTTTGCAGCGTGCAGGCTTCACATAGCACTGAACAACTGGGCTGTCAATTTCGGCGCGGAGTCTGTACTGAAAGTGGGAGAGCGAGTCTGCCAGATGACTCCAATGCCGGAGCAGTCATCCTGGTTCTTCTGAGCTGCCCAGTAGCAGAGACAGAGGGGCGAGCCAGAGGGCTGCCTCATTTTTCCAAAGACCTGTTTAATTGCAAGGTCTGTAGGTGGCAGGGCCCCAACCCTTAACTCACCCATAGCTCTGGGAGACTTTGCAGCTGACACAGCTGATTGTTTGGGGTGGATTCCAAATTACCATCTCTCATGAGAGGCAGCACAAGGCAGGTCTGACATGGAAGGGCTAATTATCGGAGGGTGCTGGCAGGCATGGGAGTGAGGTCACTCGGTGTCTTTTCTGAACCCTCCTCGCCTTGGAACCAACAAGAGTCTTGATGGGATTGTTGGGGCAACAGTCGCAGCCTGGAAGAACTTTATTCAGATTAAGGACAACATATTCCACCCAGTTTGCGATTCTAAATCCATCCTGTCTGCGTTGCCTCCATCGCTGCATCCTCCCACTGGCACTGACTATAAAAAGACCATCTCCAGATTGGAATGTTAGGAATGCAGATGTCACTGCACTTGACAAGAGTGTTGTCATGGATCCCTGTAAGGGGCCAGAGATAGAGACAGTGATCCAGGGAAATGAAGGAACATGCAGGGGGACCTGGAGAGTGTCACAGCTTAGGGGGAAATGATACAAATCAGGGTTACAAACTAAAGGGTGGTTTGAAGTATGAACCAAGGCTCATCTACTACCTTGGTCCCCAGGGGCCTGCTACTCATGAGGCAATAGACTCCTAGAGTCCACAGGGACCTTAGAGATGGGCTAAGTCAACCTCCGAAGTAAGCAAATTAAAGGGAAAAAGACGAAGCTTCAGAATGAAGACTAGAACCCAGCTCTCCCGACTTCCAGTCCCGGGCTCTTTATACAAGAGACTATTGAGCAAATTCTGAAGGGCCCCATGGTGCCGTGGCCACAGCAGCAAACCTGTCCAGAGACCAGCACCTTCTAGCTTGTAGAACTTCAGATTGTTGATCAAGGGACTCCTGACTCCACTCCCCTGGTGCTGCAGAGGAGGAAACCAAGGCAGCGGCACACTCGTGCCACAGCCAGAACTGTAGCCCAGACCCCTGTGAGCTGCAGGTTGACAGTCCCACAGTTGGCCAGAGATGAGGTCAGAATAAAGTAGCAAAGTTCACCCTCCTGTGAGAGGTTCTATTCCTGAAGAGCAAAGTAAACGCTGGGTGAATCATAGAAGTGGGATAGTCTTGGAAGTCTTATATAAAATGGAATTCACAGCTTCAGCTAAGAGCAGGGAGTAAGAGATTCTGTGGGAATTTGGAGTCTCGAACCAAGGTTCATGGATTTGCTAGCCAGTATGAGCCTCATTAGGAACCCTGGTGGTGCAGTGGTTTAAGAACTCAGCTGTTAACCAAAAGGCCAGCAGTTCACATCCACTAGCCACTGAGAGAAAGATACCACAGACTGCTTTCATAAAGATTTGCAGCCTTCAGAAACTCTATGAGGCAGTCCTCCTCAGTCCTGTAGGGTCACTTTGAGTTGGAATCAATTCTTTCACAATGAGTTTATGATCCACATTTACTTTGCAAATGAGCAGGGAGTTGGTTGGAAGTGTTTTTAATCTGGAAAGTCTTAGAGTAAGTAGGAGTCAACAAACTGCTCCCCAGTCAGATCTGCCCCACCGCCTGTTTGTAAATAAGTGTTTCTTGGAACACAGCCAGGCCATTCATCCAAGTAGTGTCCATGGCTGCTTTCCTACTAGGGGTAAGTTGTAGTCAAGGCACTGAGGTGCTCAGTCATAGCCAACACAGTGACATCAGAACAAACCCAGATCTAGAAAACATGGATGTAGCAGAATGATAATCAAAATAGAAAAAATCATGGAACACTCTGATGAGGTGTGGAGAGCCGTTCTGGATCCTGATGTGTGACGCTGGATTGCTGGCCCGGACTGTGAAGAGCAGCACACATTCAAAGCAGGACGGTTGGCTAGCATCTTTGAGCAGGGCACTGTTGTTTCTGACTCTGCCAATTCAGAGCTGTGGTTGCTCTGCAGCTCACACATTGCCCTTGTTTTCTAAGAGGTGATTAATTTTCTAGCGGGGCATTCCAGCAGACCCACATTGTACAAATTCAGGTCCTACCCAATTTCCTTTCTTCAGACACAACTGAACCAGGAAGAACTGATTCAGAGTCCTTGTTGTAGCAGTATGGTTCATAAAACCAAAAATATTGACCCCCTGGCCCCTTACAGAAAAAGTTAACCTGCCTTCGTCATAGTGTTACATTATTGGGTGTCTGTGAAGTGGGAGATGTCATTGTTTGTGTCCAATTTGGAAGAAAACTTCGTGTAATACACAGCCTGGTCATCATCCATAAGAATGGGGAAGCAGAGAGTCCTCACGACCCAGGGAAATGAAAAGCCAAGTATTCCCTGAGGATCAAGGGAGCTTCTGAGCCAACAACATTGTTTTTCAATAGACTCACTGTGCCCATCTTTAAATTCTCTTATTTACAGTTCCCAGGAAATTGGGACACACTGGGGGATCATGAGAAAAGAAAGGTTTCAGTAATCAATAGTATATGAGTTATTTTCCTTTAAACCGAACACAAACAGGTCCATTTACCTGAAGAGGAAGAAAAGATGGAACATCAAAAATATGTATTTGTGTGGGTCAGGTAAGGCAAAACTGGTCACAGCGATTAAACTGACAGGCTTTCAGGGTAAACCTTGTGCCCTGGTGACACCAGACTAGGAGGCTGTGTTTAGATCTCCCAAGGTATTGGGGATAAGAACCATTTCTGACTCTGCCAATTCAGAGCTTTGGTTGCTCTGCAGCTCACACATTGCCCTTGTTTTCTAAGAGGTGATTAATTTTCTAGCAGGCCAAGGTATTTGGGATAAGAAACATTCTCCACTGCTCCAAGAATGGGTGGGGCTAGGAAGTGGGGAAATAAGGGAACCAGAGACACACGTCTGTGCTTACCTTTCACTCAGCAGCTAGGCGTTAAGCCTCAAAAATATTGCTTCTGATAATATTTTGAAGTTCTAACAGGCTGGGGAAAACAAATAGATTCAGTTACACTGCAAATTCGATTTATGAGATTTATGTTTTAAGTTAAAAATGTAACTGATCCATTTCAGAGTTCTATAAATAAGTAGCTTTTCCTTTGATTCCAGTCCTGATTCACATGTGCTTTTGCAAAAAATGCCTTAAATCTCATAAGAAATGAGATAACTCTCACCAAGCCTACTTCTTACATTTTTAGGGTTAGCACAAGAGTACAAGTAGAAACCCTACAGGCCATAAATATTGCCCCTTCCCCTTTTTTTCCCCTACCCCCAAACAGCTATGAGCCTGCGCACATACACACACCTGGGGTACTGTATGGGGAGGAGAAAGGCTACACAAGCCCTGGAAGTGGTGCCATTTGGACAGGATATTCCAGGTTCCTGGGTGAGCACAGGCTAGACACATGGGGGTACAGGTACCAGGTGAGCACATCCCTTTGGCCCTGGGGACTCCTTGCTCATGCAGAGGGCACAGCCAAAGGAAGCCAGAGGGCGGGGGGAATAGAGAGCTGCTGGCTGCTAAGTCCTCATCTCCTCAAACCAGGAGGCTGGATTGGAGTCTCCTCCTTTTGTCCCGCTTTGGTTCAGATTGGGGTGAAAGAGGAGGCTGTCTGCTCCCGTCAATATTTCAAAGCCTCAGGAAACCAAAGGGGGTCGTTCTACCTTGTCTTTTGGGTCACCGTGAGTTAGAATCAACTCAATGGCAGGAGATCTGGTTGGGTCTTTGGTTCCAATGCCTGGGATCAGCACAGCCTGTTATGCAGGAAGAAGAAAGCATTTGAACGGGGGATAAGGAGGAGGCCAGATGTCGAGGGCCTGGGTTCCGGGAAGCCTGCCTTGGGTGGAGCCAGATCAGTTCTTCTCCCCTTCCAAGATCAGAGTACGTAGGAAGCCTCCCTCTCTGGGACCACGGGAGGCCTGTAGCTAGAGGCAGCCCCTGCCGAGCAAAGAACACAAGCAGCTCTACTCAGTTGTACAACCCACCCTGCACAGGACCGGGGCCCTCGGGAAGGACTCTGAGAGCCTCTGGTCTCAACCCATAACAGAGCCCATCTCCTGTCTAACGTGTAGAGAGAGCCCTGTCATGCCTGCCTTCGTACCTACAGATAACAACACCATCTCGGAACTCAGCTCCCTGCATGAGGATGACAGCAATTTCCGCCAGTCTTACCATCAGATGCGAAGCAAGCAGCTCCCTGTTCCTGGAGACCTGGAGAGCAACGCCAACTACTGGTCAGGTGTCATGGGAGGCAGCAGTGGAGCAAGCCGGGGACCCTCGGCCATCGAGTACAACAAGGAGGATCGGGAGAGCTTCAGGCACAGGTGAAGATGGCTGTCATGGGGCAGCTCTGGGGCTGAGCACGATAGGGAAGTGACGGGGCAGATCTGAGGCTGCTTCCCCAGGGCTCAGCCAGCTGTGACCTGATAGCCTCTCTCCCACCCTAGGCTGTCCTGCCCCACATTCCTATGGGCTATTGAACTCCCTCTTTTCACATTCATTCAGCAAGGTACATTTGTCCCATCGTGTGTAGGTGTCCAAGACCCTTTGAAATGAGGGCTTTGCCCCCCTCTAAGAACCTTGTTCACAGTTGCCAATATTTATCCAAAAATCCACTGCCATCAAGTTCAGTTCAACTCACCTCACTCCCTGCCACCCCGTCACTACTGACTCATAGCTGCTGCTGGTTTCAAACTGTAGATCATCTGATCGCAGCCCAACACGTACCCGCTACACCACCAGGGCTCCCTATTCCAATTCATAGCCACCCTCTATACCGTTTCTGAGACTGTAGCTCTTTAAAGTAGCAACCAGCATTGTCTTTTTCCCTCCAAGCAGCTGGTAGGTTTGAACCGCTGACCTTGCCAATTACTGTCCAATGCTTATGCCACTCCATCATTTTCATCTTTTGTTATACAAACGGTAAAATGCCACACATTGTACTGCTGCGTTTAATTCTCATAGCAGCTTGAAAAGGTAGGTAGGCCTTGCTGTTGTCATTGTTAGCTGCCTTCGGGGTGGCCCCTGACTCACAGCAACCCCATGCACAATGGGGTCAGACCATTGTGAGTCATAGGGTTTTTATTGACTGTTTTTCAGAAGCAGATCCCCAGGACTTGACTTTCTTCCTAGTCTGTCTTCAGCCCTGAGGAGCATCATACAACATGCAAGCCTCTGCTGATAGACAAGGGATTGCTGCAAAGCACTGTTAACATCTCCATTTTCGTTAGGGAAACTCAAACTTAGAGATGCTAAGGCCCTTACCCAGAGTCACCCAGCGAACCAATGTGGGAGGGCAGGAATTGCATGACCACTTCCCCACTGAATAGCATCCTTACCAGCCAGTGCTTCACTCGAAGGGCAGTTAGACATCGCCTTTCCCTTGAGCTTACTGGTTGCAGGGGGCCCTCTCTGGCCTGCTGCCCTGATAGCTAAGTTGGCCCTTGCTCTTGGGGTGGAAAGAGCTTCTATGTGGCACCAAATATTCCAGGCTCCTTGGGTCACAGCTGTATTGCAAGACACGACCTGTGCTGACTCTGAGGCTGGGTGGAGGTTGTCCTGCTGCTGTCAGCAGGACTTGGCCCCATAAAGATCCACCAGAAGTGCCCTCAATGGTGTGTTTCAGCACACTGCGGATGGCTATATGTACACAACCTGATTTTGATCCCTGGCACAAACTCGTGAGATGGTCACAACTGCCTTCCCTTTAATGAGATCATTGGGCCTGTGAGGCCCAGATTATTCCAGGCAGAGAGGGGCAGAGCTGTGACCCCAGAACCCTGTGGGTCCCCTTAGACACGGGCCAGCATCCACATTAACTGGTCCTCCTTTGCCCGCAGCCAGCAGCGCTCCAAATCCGAGATGTTGTCCCGGAAGAACTTCGCCACTGGGGTGCCAGCCGTGTCCATGGACGAGCTGGCGGCCTTCGCTGACTCCTACGGCCAGCGGCCCCGCAGGCCGGACGGCAACAGCCACGAGGCCCGCGGCGGCGGCGGCGGGAGCCGCTTCGACCGCGCCGAGGCCCGGGCCCTCGGGGGCTTCTACCAGGACGGCTCCCTGGAGGCG